TAAAACCAAACTCACTGCCATTGAGTTGGACCCGACTCATAGCGACCCCTCCTTGGGTTTCCGAGGCAATACCACTATGGAAATAGATTGTCCAATCTTCCTTCCGAGGAGTGGCTGGTGGGTTTGAACTGCCAAGGCAGTGATACTGCCTTGGAAACCCAAGGAGGGGTCGCTGTGAGTCGGTTCTGACTCAATGGCAGTGAGTTTAGGGAGTATAAAGAAGCAAAAGGAGTACTAGGAATGGATTTAAGGCTATGACAACAGATGTTTGCCAAAAGGCAAACATGACAAGTAGCTTTGCCTTGTCTTGGTTACAACCATCTCCGGTCTTACTAGAAACAGTCTCTGTGTTTAACAGCTATGACCCCAGGCTGTTTAGTCAGAGAGCTTAGAATCGAGTCTCATCCCTAACATTTACAAGTTATGTTACTTTAACCTAGTAAGTTAAATTCTCAAATTTCAGTTTCCTCATCTGTGAAAATAGGGGATCTAACAGGAGTACATAAGGAGCACTAGTGTTACACCAGTTAAGTGCTTGACTGCTAACTGAAAGGTCAAAAGTTTGAACCTACCAGCCACTCAGCTGAAGAAAGATGCGACAGTCTGCTTCCAAAGATTACAGCCTTAGAAACCTTATGGGGCAGTTTTACTCTGTCCGATAGGGTCCCCATGAGTTGGAATTTGATTTGATAGCAATAGAACAGGAGTCCTTAGGGGCAGCAATGATTCAATGATAGAATTTTCATCCTCCATATGGAAGACCTGAGTTCAGTTTCTAGCCAATGCATGTCATGCACTCACCACTTGTCTGTCAGTGGAGGCCTGTGTGCTACTATGATGCTGCATGGGTTACAGCAAAGTTTCCAGACTAAGATAGACTAGGAAGAAAGGCCTGGTGACCTACTTCTGAAAATAAACCAATGAAAACCTTATGGATCACAATAGTGCCGTCTCTAAACAATCACGGGGATGGAGGACCAGGAAGCATGTTATCCCATTGTGCATGAGGTCAACATGAGTCAGGGGCCATCCCAAAGGCAGCTAACAACAAAAACAGAAATATAGCTCATAGACATGTGACTATTACATAAGATGATCTACAGAAGGTTTAGCACAGGGTCAGACACAGAGTAAATGCTCTTGCCCATTCTGCTTCAGCCAGTCAAGGCCCACAGGAGCAGTCACATAAGTGTTACTGCATGAAAACCTGTTCCCTAAATGGAAAATAACTCCCATGTTAAGTAACTTCCTTAGAAATGGGTGAAGTAAGCATCCTTTCTCCTCCATCTACCCACTTTACTCTATGACACCAGTCTTTAATACAAAACACTTGCTGTCCTCTGGAATCTACATTCATGTTGACCTTTTAGAGTATCATTTGGACATTTATCCCTACTGTGGGAATGAATTTTATCCAGTAGTATAATTTAGGTGTCATTCACACTTGCCTGTCAATTTTCTTTTATTTATTTTGCATTCACAAAGAGATCAAGACCTGTCTCAGAGTGGAGTTGTTTGGAGTTGTTTCCCTCAGTATAGGGAGGGTCTCTCAGCAATGATCATCTAATGGTAGCTTCTAGCAAAAGTTCCTCAAGTTAATAAAGAGGATTTTATTTCCATGTATTGTTTCCACATTGATGCTAACAGGACAGTGGGTGCTTTCTTTTAATCATAATTGTTGTCAGCTACTGTTGAGTTGGCCTTGACTCGAGATCATCCCATGTGTGTTACAGAGTAGAGCTATTCCATAGGGTTTTCTTTTTTAATGCATCTTATTGAAATATAATTTATGTACAGAGAAATACGCAAAACTAAAGTGACAAGGGTCAATGACCATAGAGTTTTCTTGACTATAATCTTTTCAGAAGCAGAGCGCCAGGTCTTTTCTTCCATGGACCCCTGTTGTGGTTTGCATCGCCAATCTTTGGGTTAGCAACCAGTTGCAAACTGCTTGCATCACCCAGGCTCCTTTCATCATAACAGACATGTGAAATTCTGTCTTGGTTATGTATCTAAAATGGCAATGACAGCATTTGAGAGCCTAGCTCATTTTGCTTAAAGAAAAAACAAACAAGTTCTTTTAGATAGTTTGTGCCTAAAAGGTTTCAGAGTTAACCTTTTCTTCCTTCCTCCCTTCTCCACCCCCACACTTTTCTATGACTTCCCTGAGCACTCTTAGCAGCCTTCTGTGAAGGCCCAGTAATGAGGGGAAACACCCAAGATTATTCTGAAAGTATCACTGGAAACTGCTGAACACAGCACTCAGGCCTGGATGGCTTTTTCAGAAGCAGAAATTATTGCTGGTGGGGGCAGGCCTCCATTTCGCCACTTAGCTCCACTCTCCTTGGCTGCCTGTGCCATTCCCCTGAAGTGGCTCTGAATCATAGCTGGTGTGAATTTACCAGCAGTATATGCAATATTTAATAAAAAATTAAATAGTTGGTTTTCTTTCTATGGGAGAAACTGTAACATGAATTTTATCTGTCATTTACTTATGTCAAATGCTCTTTCTTTCCCTTTCAATAGACAAATGGTATAAAGATTTTATATCTAGAGCTAGCTTAGTAACCATCTAGAGAAATGTCAGTTTCTCTGTCGCAAAACCTTGGAACACTAGGAAAAGCTTGAAGATTTTAGCTGATACTGATATATATATATATATATATATATATAAATGTGCACTTTCCTAAGTGCTTTGCATGTTACTAGTTGGTTTATCCAGCACCACAACCCTAGGAGACAGATACTATTATTATCCCTGTTTTATAAGTGAAGGAAACATGTATAGGGAGGTTTAGTAACTCTCCAAGGTTACATAGCTAGTTTGTAAGAATGCTAGGATTTGAAGTGTCTGGCTCTAGAATTTGCTTCTTTATCACTATCTTATTCCTTTATAACTAATTAAGCTTGTGGCCTCTGAGAAACACTGGCCTATGTTAAAAACAATAAACCTAAGGAAGAATTTTAGTAAGTGCATCAGATGCTTAGCTATTAACACATGATAACTAAGAAAGCGAAAAGTTTAAAAATGTGAGAATAAATTCATAAACAAGTAAGGTAGAGTAGTGGTTAAGGCATTTGGCTACTAACCACAAGGTCAGTGATTCGAACCCGCCAGCCACTCCATGGAAGAAAGATCAGGCAGTCTGCTTCTGTAAAGATTTACCACCTTGGAAACCCAATGGGGGTTGCTATGAGCTGGAATCAACTTTACAGCAGTGAATTTGTTTTTGGAGTTTTTGAGTCTATCATGTAGCCAGGGACCTATTTCCCTGCCTCTTCTTGGATTTTCTGGAAAACCAAAACTGGACTAGATTATTGCTTTTGCCGTGTAAGCACCAGACTTTCGTAACTTGAAAAAGTAACGTCTGGAACAAAATAATGTTTCAAGTCACTGAATGATGTGAAGAAAGTGAAACAGTACTGTGGTCAGACATTACAGAAAAGGAGAAATAAAGCAGGATAATTTTTTTTTTTTAAGCTTCTGGTCATCTCAGACTTTCCTGTCTCCAAAAAGATGTACTTCCTGGCTGTGCTCACTGTTTGCACAGTTCCTGTTATTTCAGCATTTCTGAAAAATCACCTACTGGCTAGCAGTAAAGGAGCTTTGGTGGTGTAGTGCCTAAGGCATTTGACTGCTAACCAGAAGGCTGGTGGTTTAAACCCACCAGCCACTCCATGGAAGGAAGGCTGGGCAATCTACTTCCGTAGCAAGCAAGTAGAGTGTCTCTGTGTCTTTGGTAGAATAAGAATATGTAAGACACAGCTCTGCTAAAAGACAAGAGAAAGATATATGCATATGCAACACTAGAAAAAACATCCTTTATTCATCATAAAACAAATACATTTCAACAGATACTTAATTAACATTAGCTAATTTTGGTGAGTTGACTATCAAGTCAATTTTAATGCAACTTCAAATCTTAAATTCTTTTTAATTCCTAGTACTAAGATTCCTATTTTATCTTAGAGCAGGGTAATTTTACCCCTCCAAGTAAAGTAATATTAAGCAGGTTCATAAAATATTCATCAATTTACAAATGAATACACAGCTATCTGTGCCTCTAAGTTTAAATTGGTTGTCTCCATGGTATGGGATGACTAAGTATTTGCTATAGGTATTTCTCTCAAGTGGTTTTTCCTTTTTGATTGTTCCACTATTAGACCTGTAATTTGAAATGCCTGTTTCTTATACAAACCCCTCTACTTGTACACAATACAAACTATCTGCTTTAGACATTTCATTTACATAATCATGTCCATTGGAATTCATGTCTGGAAACACACAAGTTCATATTAGTGATGCCAGTAGCAGACCAGTGGTTCTTCACTTAAACAATGCTTTTGATGCTAACAGTGATGACTTGGAACTAGTTCATCCCAGTTCGGTCCCCACATGATCCTAAGACATTTGAGCTGGAGTTGGAAGACGGGTAACAGCAGACTAAGATTTCAAGTTCCATCTCCACCAATAAGTTGCTGGGTTATGCTAGCCAAGTCTCATAGTCCCAGTGGGTTTGATTTTTCTTATTTGTAAACTGAAGTAGTTGGATGCTGTAAAATTCTGTGAGTCTATTAAGCAAATTCCTTATTCTATTAAAGAGGCCCTAAAAGGCATTTAATTAATTAAGAACTAAAATTAGATTGAGCCATAACTAGCTCCCAGGATGCTATGTGACAGCCACATTCCTGGCACTTAGCATTATCAGCCCCAGGTTCACTGTGTACCATGTGGCCCGGGCTACTTCAGGAGTTACAGGAATAGCCTTTCCTTGCCCATGGCCTTTTCTGAGGACATGAATTCATTACAACTATAAAATATTTCTAGAGGAAATTCTAAATAGGAAATATAACATTTTACTAAATTGTAAAAGGTTCATTCAGTTTCACTTTGGAGAAGTTGTCCTTAGCTAAAAATGTGAAGGCAATGTAATGGACACAGAGTCCAACATGAGTAATTTTACCCAAAGCATTTTGTAAGAAAGAAAAGCCAGACTTACCTGTACTTTTGCAGGTACAGACCCAGGCACTTGATATTTCAACTCTTGGGCTGTTGTTTGAGATTTTGGAAGCAGAAATGGGTATGAAAGAGACCGATACTTTGGCTTCATAATCTAAAACAAAGAAAAACAGATAAAAATGACTCAAGTTAGAAACAGTTCTCCTCATCACTACTTTATGGCTGAAACTCAGGTTCATTTGAAAAAGGAAAATGTGAACAATGGATGTTTCTAGTTGAAGCGGTCATAGATCACTCCATTTTTCTTTTCTGTCTTTTCCATGTATTTCTGTGAGTCAATCTGAAGCCAGAGTTCTAGCAGCCTCCAGGAAAATCTTTAACCAGAAACCTTTTAGTGTCAGGGATTCTAACAAGTAACAGGACTTTTGGAATTCTAAACACTCCTTAGGGCCTTTATCTGCCCTCCAGGCTCAGCAGGTATCAAGGAACTTCCTCCGAACTCAGCACGCATCACAAAAGCCATCGGGATTCAGCACGTATCGGAGATTTGCTCGACTGCTGAAAGTCTCCCACATATCTGAGCTGCATCCTCCCTAGATAATATTTTCCTAAGTGAACTTTGGAGCCGGGGGGTTTCTTTACGTCCCGCAACATCTTAGATCACTGCCCTAAATCCCTTAGCAACAACCAATCATCTGTACCCTCTTGCCCTGGTGCTGCCCCTTCCCATATTGTTCCATAAATTTGTGAGAATATCGGTGCACGGGGTCTTTTGCTCAAGCCACTGATCTGGTAAGGGCAAAGACCCTAACTTAAGTTAGCTAATAAACCCTCCTACTGCTTTTGCATTGTCGTGTGTTAGCATATTTCTCTCGCCGAGGAACTCCTTCTTAACTTGGGCACAACATTTCCTTCTTTGTTTTTTTCACAATGAGCATGTATTGCTTTATATATGTAAAGAAAGAGTTAATATAATCTATAGTTATAGAGATATATAGCTCCAAAAATGAGATGACTGTTTTGTAACCTGCTGTTTTTTACTATGTTATATGAGTCAGAATTGACCTAAAGGCAATTGGTGATTGTTGTAGACATTTTGCCATAGCAGTAGTGTAGCACTATATTATCATTTCTAAATAACTTAATAATAAAATGGTATGGAAGAATAATAATTTGTTTAATAAATTCTTATTAACAACTATTCCAGTTGTTTCTAATTATATTTCAAGTATTAGAAGCAATGTCATAATAAATTACCTTACTGGATTATTTCTTAAGCTTAAATACCCAAAAATAATTTTTCTGGGTCAAAGGCTGTACACTTTTTAAAAATCTTGCTAGTGCACCAACTCATCCTCCCAGGAACAGAATATAAATGCACCAAATATACTCAACTATTAGCTGTATTTATTTTTGCTAGTCCAGCAGGTTAAAAGTAATGTCTCTTTGTTTATTCATCGATTCCCTAAATTTTTGTTAGAAGGGCTTCTGCTAACTCTTTATAATGCTTATATGAATGAAAAATAAAGTGTGACTCTAAGTTGTTGATAAAATTAAGTTATTTTCCCAAATTATCAGAGGAAAGAATGCCTCATCATCATTTAAAAGAAATAAAATGATTATTCCTGGACCTTCATAATACCTGGACCTTCATAATACCTGGACCTTCATAATACCTGGACATTATATACTCAAGAGTGTTAGGTCAAATCCTTATAAACAATGAAGGAAGGCATACTAAAGGAAACTCAGCCTAGAGAAATGAAAAAGATTCTACCTTCTCAAACTGTTCGCTTTGCTCAGAATTACCTCTCAGAATCCTGCACCAGTATGAATCTTGTGCCATTGCAGGCTTGGAAGGGAATTTAAAGCTTGAGCTTCCTGACCTGAAGGTACAATTGCCTTCCATATGCCTACTCAGCCAAGGCTAGTGTATTACCAACCAGGCAGCCTCCCCTTGGCCTTCTTCCTTGGGGCTCTAGAGGAATCCCTCAGAGAATGTCCTTCAAACACAGGAATGTGGCTACTGTGTCCTGGAGGCAGCTCCTCTCCAGTCTGTCTGGAAAGATGGAATTGCTCATTCCACACCACCAAGACTGGGCAAAACACTTGATGTGTTGCCTAAGGTCACCTATGGTACAATTAGTTTTTACTGATGCTGCATCCCTGCTGATGTGAGTCTGCTGATCCCATCTATGAGGAGAGGGGGAGGTGGGAAGAGTTAGGAATCCACACATGCTTCTGCACAGAAGGATGTCATTAGAAGCTGAGCCTGGGCTTCTACTTACTCTTAGTTCAAGAAAGTAAAAATGCATAAAAGAGAAATGAGAAAAAAAAAAAAATCAAGTTGAGAGTTCAAACTTAAATATTACAGCTGACTTGACAGGATTTGTTCCATAATTCAAAAAAGCAGAGGTAACTTGGAGTTGATGAAATAATAAATTCTATTCACTTCTTAAAACATTAAAAGCATTAATTTCTGAAAATGTCCTTGAAATAATCTCTGAACTAGTATTTTAAAATCTTTGGATAAGCATAAGGAAGCTTATTTGGCATTATGCTGTTCCCCCTGAGAACTTATAGTTTTCTTATATGTTGCAAAGCTACAGAGATTATATTTTGTAAAATATTTAATGTCAAGTAAGAATATAGCTTCAGTCTATGGACAAGTTGCTAGTGCTATTATTTATTTTAGTTTGTGTGTGTGTGTGTATATGCATGTGTGTGTATGTTTGAATCTGTATGAGAGTGCATGTGTAGGGCCTACTATGGTACATGGCATGTGGTAACACTTCATTGAAAGGCAGCTGTGCTGGCATGCCCGGAGATCTTCCTAAATGCAGACTGCCTCTGCCTGGCCTGTGACCACCCCATTCTTCTGCCCTTCACTACCCAGACAAAGCTAAAAGGCCACATGACAGAGGTAGGGAATGCCTTTCTCCTCTGTGCCTTGTGAAGCCTGCCTTTGACTACCCTAGATGGATGCAGTCCTCCCCTCTATCTGCCACTATGTCAAACTCCTGTGATGCTGAGTGCACAGGCTCATTTGGCAACACTGCTAGGAACTGGAACCAGAAATTTGACAACAAAGGAGCTAGCAACTACCTGTGTGCTGGGAGAGTGGGAGGCCAAAAACATCTAGAATCAGAATCCTGCTCCACTTTTTTTTTTTTTAATTGAGATATAATTCACATGCCATAAAATCCACCGTTTATAGTGTAAAATGCAATGGTTTTTAGTATAGTCAGAAGGTTGAGCACCGATTATGACTATGTAATTCCTGAACCCTTTCGTTACTCCCCAAAAGCCCCATACACATGGATTCATTTTTAAACATGTAAAATTTCTAAAATAAGTGTGATATATTAATGATAGTAATAGGTAATAATATTTGGAGTTTATTATCAGAAATAGTGTAAGAATATGAGAAGCATGAATCTTACTTTATTGTCCACAAACTAAAAAACCACCTGGAGCACCAGGTAATGCAATAGAAAGAATTCTTGTTAGGCACAAGACTAGATTATTTCCTTGTTCCCTTCCTGCAGGGACCAATTACTGTGACAAAATGAGTAAGATGATCTTACTCTGGAGAACCTTACAGTCTAATGGGAAAAGAAATCAGTGCATAATTTCAATAGGATGTCCTATGTAGCATCTTGATGCTATAGTGTCTGCTACATGGTGGATATCTGCTAAATATGTGTGTAATTGATGACCAACTAAACAAGATAAATATGAAAAGAGTGCTAAGAGAACAGAGGGATAACTATGCTTAGAGGAACAACATCTTGCAAACTGGTGAAGGTTTCTCAAAGAGAGACGCCCTCAGAGCCAAACTATGAAGAGTAAACTCTAATGGAAAAACTCACTGCCACTGAGTCGGTTCCAACTCACAGCGACCCCTGCTTGGCTTTCTGAGGCAGTAGCTCTACCAAAGGAGATTGCCCAACCTTCCTTCCGAAGAGTAGCTGGTGGGTTTGAACTGTCAGTCTTCTGGTTAGCAATCAAATGCCTTAGGCACAACACCACCAGTGAGTGTTGTTGTTGTTATGACGCATAGCAACCCCTCCTTGGGTTTCCGAGACAGTATCACTACAGAAGTAGATTGCCCCATCTTCCTTCCGAGGAATGGCTGGTGGGTTTGAACCACCAGCCTTCTGGTTAGCAGTCAAGTGCCTTAGGCACTACGCTACCAGAGCTCCTCCACCAATGAGTAGGAGGTATTTAAGTCAGGAGGGTAAAGAAGGAGGTCTAAGAAGCCCTTCCAACTCTTTTGGGTCCAGGTTAATTCCTTATTAAATCTACACATGGCTGTGGATCAGACCATTGTGATCTATAGGATTTTCACTGGCTGATGTTCAGATGTAGATTGTCAGGCCTTTCTTCCTAGTCTGTCCTAGTCTAGAAACCTGTTCAGCATCACAGCAACACACATGCCTCCACTGACAGATGGATAGTGGCTGTGCATGAGGTGCATTAAACTCAGTTCACTGCCGTCCAGTCGGACTCGACTCATAGGAACCCCTCCTTGGGTGTCTGAGGCAGTATCACTACGGAAGTAGATTGCCCAACATTCTATCCGAGGAGTGGCTGGTGGGTTTGAACCGCCAGCCTTCTGGTTAGCAGTCAAGTGCCTTAGGCAGGAACTAAACCTGGGTCTTCCGCATGGAAGGCAGAAATTCTGACATTGAACCCCAATGCCCTCTTCAGTATATCTAGACAGAAGAAAATCAAAATGGCATCATTCTTATGTTAATAGGGGAGGAATAACTCAGAAAAGGAGGGTGAGAATAGTCGTACAACTGGAAGACTGTAATAAATGGAACTGAATTGGACATGTAGAAATTGTTGAATTGGTGTATGTTCTACTGTGTATATTCTTAATAACAACAACAATACACTGTAAAAAACCAAATGAACAAAAACTATACAATTCAACAAGGCATATAAAGAGTTCTCTAGAATTTATTGAGCTTTCCCTCAATTCTGAAATCCTCTCCTAGACTGTAAGTAACTTGAATATTTTAATTGACTTTTGTATCCCCAGGGCCTAACAAAGCACTTAGGACAAAGCAGATGTTAAAAGGGGTAAGGAGGCTACATTGTATCCAGGCCCTTACAGCAGTTCCTATCCCTCCACACTTTGGATTGTCTGTGGTGTGCAAGTTCAGGAATGCTTCCTCTTTTCTCCAGTGGTCCAGGCCCTCTGACCACCCTGTACCCAGCAGCACTTAGGTAGTAAAGCTGTGTCACTGCAGCCCCTTTTTGCCAACCCTCTGGGTTTCTCCTTTAGCCAGGCCTGCCTCTTTTCATGTGGACTGCATTATGATAATCACATCCCAGTACCTTTGTAAAGTTCCAGCGCTGGATGAAATGACGTGCCACATCACGAGCCGCCTTCCCATGGACCACTGAGGCGATGTCATGCCACGGCATCCGGGGAGTGGAGTACCTGTCAATGAAATCTGCCCAGGTACACCAGGCAAGGATTGGTCAGTAATGACTGTGCCAGGGAAGAAGCCCTGTATCTTTGACTGCAACTATGATTTGGAAAAGTGTGTGCTAATGTCCACTGAATGTAGATTTCTTGGCTTGGGTAGAACAACACCTTTACAGCCAAGGGAAACATAGATCTCTCCTTGAGAAACACAGCCCTCCCCCTTGCACCTCCCCAAGTACTATGAGATAATCAGTAGACAAAGCAAGATGTGAGTTGGTGCAAATTATCAAGGCTGGTTACTTTATATTTTTCTTCTTTATCTTGTTGAAATAATGGCAGGCCATCTCTATCTCCTTTTAGACAAAGAAGCACTCTAACAATCTAAAAATGTTCCTTCCTTACACTGGAAGATGATAAACAGAAAAGAAGATGATCAAAGCAAGGCTACCATCTCTTAGAGAATTATAGATGATTACCTCAAAAATATGTCTATGGGAAAGCTGGTGTTCTTTTCTTACTCTAACTATAGGGAAAAGCCATTAAGTACATAGCTGAATCAAAGTCTCCAAAGTTTTCCCAAATGTTCAAAACCAAGACAAAACAAAAACAAATCAAGATAAAAGACAATTTGATCATGCACATGCATACTTCTTGATACGCAAAAAAGTAAAAGATAAAACATAACCAGCCACCCACTGGCAAGATACTTACCTGCAAAAGGTTTGTCAAGTTGAACCCAGTCTTTGAAAACAAAGTTGCAGTAGTCCTTTCCGTGCCAGAATCTAGTTTCCCCATGCAGTTCTCCCACACCTGTCTGTAGGCTGCGGATGGAGCCCGTATCTGAAAAAGTAGCAACCTTGCTCACAGACTAGGTTTAGGTCATTCCTGCAATCTGAAGTTCAAATCTCATTTATAGAACACTTAAAAAAAAATTCTAACACTTTTTCTTAAGACTACTATCTACGGCAGTGTGTCCATTTGAGTAGAAGCTGTGGGCTGACAAAGGTTTGACACCTCTCACAAGTCTATTAGTGCAAAGTTGGGGCTCTAAGTTGATTCATCATCATTGTTGTTGTTGTTGTTGTTATGTGCTGTCGAGTCGGCCCCGACTCATAGCGACCCCTCCTTGGGTTTCTGAGGCAGTATCACTACGGAAGTAGGATTGCCCAACCTTCCTTCCGA